CCAGGGAGGAACATCTCCGCTGATCATTGGACTCGTTAAAAACATTCAGCCGACCGTGGCTTGTGACTATGCCAGCCGAAATTATATTGTTTGAGCTCACAAACTTCGGATTTTATAACGTCAACAGAATATTAATATTATTTAAATACATATACATTTATATACGCATACATATATATAAACAATTAGCCAAAATTATTCACAACATATAAGGTAGACTCTGGCTAAAGCTGGGAAATTGCCTAGTAAAAGGTAGAAGGTAGACATGTATATATATGTATGTGTGTGTGTGTGTAATCTTTGAAGCATATAATAAATAGACTTATCCATTTGTTTTTCAATGTAACATTAAGCCTTAAGATTTTATTGAATGAAAATTACAACATAACCTTGACAACAGACGGTCGTAAACTTACTAACTGTGAATGCACACAAATATTACGTTTATGACTAACAAGAAAACTGCATTATATACACACTATAAAATTATTTCATTTTGGTCATTTAATTTGAAAAAAAAACATGCTTTTATATAAAGTATTTGGAAAAGAAAGAAATAAAAGCATTTAGTAACAGAATTTAACATATTTTCTTGTAGTCGTAATAATAAATCAACATAGAACGCCATACATTCCAACAATTCCCTGTCAATACAGAAGCCAGCATAATAAATGTGGCTCATAAAAGCGAATCATTATTTACTGCTGTTATTTTTTTGCTGACGGTACCCAGTCCCTCGGGATTATAACCCTCAGCGCTGGTTCTTAGTAAATACTGTTTTTCCTGTCCTCCAAACTAAAACCTTTATTCTAGTTACGAGAGGATTTAATTTAATATATAGGTACACTTGAATTACAAACAGAATTACTATACGCTCACTGCTGTACGATTATTATGGTATAAAATATATTTTATTTCATAAAATTGTCATGTTTGTCGTAGAAATTTTATGTAAGTGCCGTTTTTAATAAGTGTCCTCAAATACAATATAAATTTTATTTACATTTTAATCTAACGAAATACATGAATATTTGAAACTAACAGAAGTAGGTTTGTAATATTTTTTTACAATTATAATAATATTTTATATACAATTATATATATTAAATTGTTTATTATCCATTTATATAATAAATATTCTTAAACTTTCCATTTTCTGAGTTCAATCTAACAAATTTTAAAATGCACTTTCGCTCTACGCGTGGGTGGAATTTGCTTCGACTATTAGGTACTCTTACAGCTAAACGGTTTTAGATTTTATACCTGATTTTAATCAAAATAAATATAAAACACAGGTGAAACCAGGAGAAAAAGGTAGTGTTAGAGAAAAATCCATAAATGAAAGCAATGAAACCACTAGTAGTTTCCATTAAAGTTATAAGAGGACAAGGTAACTTACCAACGTGAAGGTTTAAATAGACAAGTTAATAGAGTTATATTTTACTTTATTGGTATTTAAAACAAAACTATATTTCTGAAAAATATTACAATAAATTTGTATGATATTATAATTCAATGCTAACTATTAATAATTCACTAAATTAAATACATCACATCTTTAGTCGAATGTTCAAAATTCATTAAGCAGTCATTATATAGAATACCAGATTTCCGCCCGCAGCTTCGCCCGCGTGGAGTTCGGTTATATCGCGTTTCCAAGAGAACCTTTCAAAAGTCTGAGATAAAAACTATCCTATGTTCTTTCTCAAGGTCAACTCTATATCTGTATCAAATTTCATTAAAATCAGTTCAGTGGTTCAGGCGTGAAAGCGTAACAGACAGACAGACAGAGTTACTTTCGCATTTATAATATTAGTAGGGATTTGTTCGTCATTATCAGAACACTAACAATATTTCGTTTGCAATTAATTTGTAATATCATAAATTTATAGTCACATACATATAAAACAAAATAGTTTTAAACTTAAACCATTTACTATTGTGTACGAAATTCAATTTCAAATCCTGTCCGCTAAAAATGAATCGATGTTCCCAATACAAGCCTGGCCTAGTGTGGATGTCAACGTTTACTGCATGCATTGTAAAGTATTTTACAAATAAATAAATAAATTTCATTGATTAGAGGTGTTACAACATTTTAGAGTCATCAAAAAATAGCAAACAGAACAATAAGATTCTAAAATCATGGAAGATTTCCAAAAAAAATCACATTACAAGAACTGGTTCATTTGAAGCGAACATAAAAATATGATTTCATTTCTTAAGGTTTCGGCTTATCCATACAATGACAGACGCGTAAATTGAATTATAATAAATACATTATTATAACAAGCTGAAATCAGTGCATATGTGAATGATTTTTTATCATTATTATATATTGTTCGAGGGTCGTTTAGAGGGTGGGAGATTGTGACTCATTATTTACTATGGGGTATGGATCAAAGGATTTTTTTTTATTAATTTTTCATTAATTTCACTCATATGTAGTTACGCGTAGATATTGGATTGGGATAATTCGATTTAAGTTAAGTTTTTAATAATATGCTCATTGTAATCCCTACTAATATTATAAATGCGAAAGTAACTCTGTCTGTCTGTTACGCTTTCACGCCTAAACCACTGAACTAATTTTAGTGAAATTTGGTACAGAGATATAGTTGACCTTGAGAAAGAACATAGGATAGTTTTTATCCCAGATTTTTGAAAGGTCTCTTGGAAACGCGATATAACCGAACTCCAGGCGTGCGAAGCTGCGGGCGGAAAGCTAGTTAATAATAACTTTAAAATGAAAGCAACTTTCTGAAATGAAACGTTTTAATGGACCCTAATGATTATTTCGTTCGTCGAAAGTTTAACTTGCAAGTAATCCGTTGATAACTCTCAATTATTATGTGCATTTCGCCAATACATTATGTAAATTACACTTTTCTGTTACCCCCTGACTAATTACGCTTGTGAGGATGGCGCGTGCTAGACACGTGGCAGCGTTTCGGCCAATCACAAGTCATTGTTTTGTCCGATGACGTCATCACATTGAAAAAAATATAAAAAATATTAGATTTTAATTATAGTTAAAAATATAATATGGACCATGACTCATGACATGACAGAAACTGTCTTGTAAGTCAGAATAAATCCAAACTCCATTACTAGCTACCTCCAAATATTTGACAGTTTATTTGGTGACTTCATGTTAGGGGAATGTATAATACCTAACGCCTAAACAAACTAGGGCTTAGAGGGAAGTTGTCAAAGTGTGTTTGTGTTAGAATTAAGAAGGGTGGCAGGTTCTTTGAGAATTTAACGGATGACTCCCGAGGTCCAGGATATTTGCTGAACTAACACATTTTTAAGGGTTCCGTATTCCAATGAAACTCTGCCATTTCGAATCGAATTAAACGCGGGATACTTTCGTTTATGAAACATCAAATAAATCACTCGGAGGGATATTTTTGACTTTATAAATGGTTATGTTTATTAAAATAGATATTTATGTTCTTTTTTTCGTCGAGCTAATCCATCACTGTCAACACTGGCTTTCTGGACTCACTTGACGAGATACGGGAAGCGTTTTAACTTATATTTGTTTTAATTAATAATTCATTCTCTAATAAAAATACTGTTACATGTTTATTTAGTTTAAATTTTGAATAAAATGTTTATCGAAATCAAATGCATTTTGTCAACTGTCATACATTAATAAGTTCTTTACTTTTACAGTAATCTATCGTTAAAAGTAATCATGTTTTATAATATTTGAATTAGACACGTTAATTCAAATGTATTTATAATAATATTATCCATTGATAACTTTATTAAAACAACACAATATCGGCTGGAAATATTAAAGTTAAAAGACGCTCCTGTCACCGTCACTCTGACAGCTGACAGCTTGACGGCCGTGAAGTATTGGACGCTCTGGACGAGGGCTTCATTAGGTTTTTGGTTATACAAACATTTATATTACGGTTTTTATACGTTCAAAAAATTATTTATTTAAACACATTACAATTATACTAATTAATTTAAAATAAATTATAATTGGTTCTATTGAAACTTGGCGTTGTGATAATGGAATAATTTTGATCTTTTGATCTTTTGATTAAAAGTTTTTTTATCATTAATCTACATACATATTATGTTGTATTGGATAAATATTATTAAAAGAATTTTACCTAAAACTAGAAATTAATTTGTTTAAATTTAATATAATTAAATGTTAATTCACAAGGAGACGTGAAACTCGGTTGGTTATCTTAAAAGTTGTATCTTACCTAGATGTTTGACAAGTCCTGCCGGTAAAAGTAAATTTAATTACTCAGTCTACTGAGACCAAATGAACTGGAGCCAAGATACGGTCGAGACTAATTTTCAATTAAAACTCCATCAAACTTTAACTCAAAACTCATCTTAAAAGAGTTAGCACAAAGGCATATTTATTTTTAATATTCTCACAAAGTTAAAAGAAAGTTGATAATCATTATGACGACGTGACAAAAACTATGGGTTGGGACATTTACCGTCACGTAAAAATTGGAAAATTTATAATTAGTAATAAATTAATTTTCAGTATAAAACAGGATTAAATAATGCTTATTTTTATTTCATGATCAAATTTGTAACTTAACCCAATTAGGTTAAATTATTAACTGTATCCGAAAACCATAGCTACATCTAATAGTAGCAATAAACGCTTTAGAATCATAACTTAAGAGACAATAGAGATAAAATCTTTGTTAAACCGAGTAAGTACAGGTAGCGTCGTATCGATTGTATATATGTACGTTTATTTAGCCATAAATAGGGAACTTGATGGTGGAGTAATAATTATGTCGCGCCCGTGATTATTATGACAATTAGGGATGTGATCGAGATTACTATGAGAATAGGATATCGATATTTTTGTGATCGATTAAATTAATATTCTATATAAGAAATTAGTTTTTTTATATGTTAAGATTTATTGCTTATGAGCGAAAAGGTTGTTGAATGTACTGTATGGAATGGCTGAAAGGTACAAAATTTAATTATCTGACGTTATGGAATTCACTATCTGTAATACCATAAAGAATCCTCGGAGCACGGCATCCGAGCCCGCAGCCTGCATCCGACGGGTTGTATGAAACGTATTTTATCTGTGAATCCGATAAAAATCCAATTTTGCCGCGTCGCCCACTTGTGGGTTGACGTCCACACGTGACGGCTTGATAGGTTTTAAAGCTCCTTTGTGTATGTTATCGCCGGGATCAATCCAATAGATATGTTATATGTAAGTTGTTCTGTATGTGTGTTTGTTGCAGCGCGAGGGTGCTGCGCGCAACGATGCGGAGCGCGAGCGGCGCGCGCGCGGCGACTGGGAGGCGAGGGCGCGCGCCGCGGAGGCCGACGCTGCAAGACTTGCTGGGAAACTACACGCTGCACAACGAGAGATTGCCAGGTAATACACGAATAACATCTCACAACTATAGGTCCTGAGGGCCTAGTGGTAAAGGCCCGCAAAGGCCCGCTTTTCATGCATGAGAGCGCGAGTTCGAAACCTGACAAGTATCAATTTAATTTATCCGAGTCATAGGTACTTTCTAAGACTATTTAGACACCACTGACAGACGGTGAAGGAAAACATCGTGAGGAAACCTGGACTTATAATAACATCCCGCTTTGAGCAAGCGTGGTGATTAATGCTTAAATATTTTGCTTGTGAAAAGAGGCCTTTACTTAGCAGTAGGCTCTTATAGGCTGATGACGACACAACTATCCTTCACTAACATACAAAATCTATAAAAAGAATTATCCGCAAATAACTCTAAGCCAGGATAATCTACATTCTCCTTATTTGGAGTCCATTAAAATGAAAATAGACGAAAAATTGAATTCTCGAGTAGAACCTTCTTAAATTGGGTCGAATCAGTTCGGATCGTTGCCGTAAATCAGGAATTTCAAACAGTAACGGCCCATCGGCCAATCGGAAACTCTTATCGCTACCTACGACACGATACCGAAGCTCCGATTACTGAAGATATAAATTCTAAAACTCCACTAAACTTCTTTAATTACCGCGAGGAATGACTGATATCGGAAATCGTCAGAAGATATTCATATTTATATATATAGCTTCATGAATATACCTGTTAATGTTTTTTGTATTATTCACGTATCCTGTAACAAATAACGGTTATTTCGTTAATACTATCACCTCTCAATTGAATCGATTGTGAATGGATTTTATGACGCCATTAAATTTAAACATGGATTACAGTCAATTATACAGAACAAGAATCGATTTATACTTAATGTGCCGATTACATTGTGCCGTATATAAATGTAAAATTTTACAAAGATATTTTCTTTAACAAAGGTATATTCATGCTTTTTGCTATAATAAATGCTTGATACGGAACGCAACGTTAATGACATTGCATTTTCAAATTTCAAATTCCAAACAGTAAAATAGTTTTCATTGGAAAGAGGTCTTATATTTTCTTCACTAGACGTACTAAATTATATTTATTTAATGACTGGCTAAGTCTTTCACCGAGACCAAAATAAATAATGCCATAGCCAGCGTACCGTCACAGGATTTGTCGCCACCTCTGCGAACTAACATCTGGTGAGGAGAAAAACATCCAGGGACCTTCAGATAAAGCGATTAATGCGGTCTTAAAAACATTGATAGGGTTTTGTTTTTTTTTTTAACCTCATGCAACAAAGGCCAGTGTTGAGTGTATTGTGCCAAACTATTTGGACATAAAAATTAAAAAAATATTTACTGCTATATTTGAATTTAAAGATCATATTGCTTATATTATATCGTCACACATACGAAGTTTTTTCCGTTTTTCAATCAATAACGTCAATTCATAAGCAAATATTTGTTTATGAAAAACTATTAACGCGCAGTACGTAGTGACGATTCAGACTTGGAGTAAGCATTATGATAATTATTAAATCAATTATAATAATTTTAAAGATAAAATCTAATAAATTATTTATTATACATTTGCTCGTTTGTCGGTATATTTCTAGACGAGTTTAAATAATTTCCTAGAAAACACAAGTTAACCATGAACTTCATATACCGATCCCGACCTAATCCACGGTCTATTTACGGGATCCCCCTTCAAAAACTTATAAATAATAAACGGGAGATGTAGGAATCATCATAAAAACTTACACACAAATCAAAACAGACCTTAAAGTTCTCAACATAGAGTTGACTATCACAAAATGTGAGAAATCAGCTACTAAACAGATATAAAAGTACATACGAGGGTAATTGAGTCTTATGTTATAGATTTAAGCTACAAATTGCGTTGACAGATGAATAGCACTAAAACGAATCCTTTATTACATATGATGCAAGATAATTTAATGTAGTTGGTGCACTTGAAACGTATGGAAGCTGGAAGAAATTTCAGTTTATATCCAAAGCTTATTCTGATGTTGTTTTAAAAGGAATATATCGTGTAATTCTAACAAGTAATGCAATACAGTTGATATTGAAATTATATTGTGTTCTAGAGTCGAAAATAATGAGACATCTGATACTCAAACACCCTTGAAGCAGGGGACGATGCAACCCAATACTCCTAAGTGGTTAACAAAATCTCTACTTATAATTTCAAACGTCCCACAAATAGGCGATCGAATAACATAATCTGTTCGAGTTTCGTTATTTTATAAATTTGTATACTGTGAAAATGATTGTTATATTAAATTAAACGAATAATTTTTTTTATATACTAGCTGTTGGCTGCGGTTTTGTCTTCATATTAAATTCCTCTTTAAATAGGGCGTATAGTGATGAATATAGTGCATTTGACGATGCAATTTGTCAAAGATCTCTCAATTAGATTCTGACTTAATTACAATAAAACAACTCAACACCATGATAAATGTCTAGATAAAAAAAAAATCATAACTTAGCATTTAATTAAAGGATTTATAGCGTAACAAATGTTTAGACGAATTTTAAACTTTCTATCTTCTGAAATCGGTAAAAATTAGTGTATGTTCATCTATTTAAAGTAACCTACTTACGAGTGAAATTTTCGTCAAAATCCCTCCAGCTGTTACAGAAATTAGCCTGAACAAACAGACGGACATTTTTAAACTACATTTTTGTTATTAGTACCGTATAAACCTTCACGTGCATTTGTAGGAAAACTGTGAATGTTCAATAGCATATATTTTTTTCTATCTTCAATATAAGTATTTCTATAGATACAAAATCTTGTGTTATAATCACATATTATTTGGAAGATTCTGTTTTAATATGATCCCCCTTATTCTTTACGTCTCGTGACGTCATAGTGACGTCAGATATCCGACCCGGTACAATAATTGTCACGGTAATCGTTCTTTTTGTCAGACGACACTGAAGAAATGCCGCTCCCCGTTTTTATTCTCATCTTAAATTATTGCAACCGGAGCTCTCTCCAGAATTCATTAGGAAAGCAAACACTTCACAAAGCTTGAATATTGTTTCATACAAAAATTTAAATAAATGAACTTTAAAACTTTCGTGAGTATTCATTTAAATAAAACTAATATTTTTCGTATATACTACGCGTGCTTTATTAAAAAAAACTACATACTCCCTACATTTCGGTTACTTTTAAGCAACCGTGATCTTTAAGACGAGATGTGAATACTTAGTTATAATTCATAACCTTATAAAAATTTCGATTTACATCACAAGAGGGTATTGACCATAATTGTGGACAAATTTAATTCATAGTTAAAATCTACATAACAAAACATGGATCCAATTAAGTATGATATTGTAAGGATGATTGAAATCGTTTAGATAAGTTATTGTAATGGATGCATCGATGGTCCGGACATGTGTTTACTATCATGGGTTATTTTAAAATAAAACAAGCTCACCAGAGTCAAACGTGTTCAACAAAATTAATACAAAACAACTCTAATACATAGATAATTAAATTTAAATAATTATACAATGTCATAATATATTAATTTTTTAATCTGTGAGTTGTTATGTCAAAAATCTTTTTGTTTTTATATTCAATAAGATATATTATTAACCAGTATATAGAGATTCGTTTTGTGCGAAATAATTAAGAAATTGTATGTATTACATATCTGCTTGCTACTTCATGTTGATGAAATATTAAGAAAAGAAACTATTGTGTTACATTGTTAATATATAAATTAATATAGAAAAAAGTACATCAGTTTATATTATATAGCATAGCTTTATTCTATCGATAATAAATATTAAAATTATAAAAGTTCTATATAATTTTACTGTTGAAAGACAAAACATGATATTTGGTAAGATTAAGAAATCGTCATTGTATAAAATAAATTATAAATTACTTTAACAACATTATAAAGATATATAAATTTATTGAAACCAAATATAAATTCTTAACAATTTCAACACGTTTTTATATCAAAATAAACGGTATTTAACAGAGGAACTTCTTTTAATTGGCAACACCCGCAATATAAATAACACTATGCAAACTTCAAACCTGGCAGCACTCGTCAATGAGAATTAAACGAAAGGCGTCCCCTCATCTCTGTCACATCTGTACCAACTTTAATAAGATACTAAACATTTATATTATGAACTCTATTTCATTACAATAAAGGCTATTTTTATATAAAATAAGTTTTGAGACTAAACTCCATTTGTTCAAACATTTTCTTGTCCTTTCATTTAGATGTTTGTTCTAATATGGATCGCAATTAGCTCCGTGGATGAATGGTGTATGTTTTTTAATATCTGTGCAAGCATACAATTTAATTATCTGTGCTAATTAACATGGCGGTTAACTTTGTATTTGTTTCATACAATCTGTACACAGATTTAAAAGTGTACATTTAAAAAGCTTTTACAAAGAATTTTCGGTTTCGATTTATAATAATTTACAGACGTCACTTGCAGAATAATTAAAGAGTAAATATTAAAATATTATTAATTAAAATAGGTGTCGAATGCAAAAATAACTGTTTAAATGAAACTGATATTTTCGGATTTACTACGCGATTTTTTTATTTTTGATTATAAACTACATACTCCCAACGTTTCGGTTACTTTACAGCAACCGTGATCACAGGCAGACGAGAAATTACTGTTTCCCAATCTAAAATTATTTGCTATAAAATGTTTAGAATTCAGAAACAGAATATAACGTTTTTAAAATAAAGAGATCCCTTTGCAAGCGGGGTGAACGCATTTGCATGCGATGTAATTCTCCGTTTTAAATTTAAACAGATTTAGCCCTCAATAGCATAAATCACTGTACAGGAACTACACCCCCGCTCAGACCATGTTTTGTTTACTAAAATACACAATTATATATGTAGTATATAAAGAATATTAAGAGTAATTAAAAACTTTCTTTTCATACAAATGTATGGATACCTTGTTGAAATCTTAAGTGTCAGCTATATTAACTTATAAAA